CTGTCCCAGCCAGAGGAGGCTGAATCTGAAAATAAGATCAAGGAACAAATGCTGTCTGGCTATAGGTCCAAGTTCACCACTCCTGTACTACAGCACAAGCCTGACTACCCACCTGAGGGCAAATGATAGAATGAGCCTCAAGACACCACCAGCCCCCTTCCAACCTTTCTAGCCTTATCTGTTAGGATTTATGCCCCAGACCATACAAGTTCTCATGCTCCAACCACAACATGGTCTGTTTACCATATGTCACATCCCTCCCATGACAAGCCCATGTTTGCAAATTTTGCTCTGACCCTAGAATTTTCTTCTCAACAATCCAAGATTTCATTTCAAACCTTATTCAAGAACTATCCCAATGTTCCTGACTTTTCTAGATAGTTATAGGCCAGGTGTAAAATCCAGGAAGAAAAGGGATGGGCTTTATCATATCGATGTTCTTATAGGTGGCTATCAGCCCAGTATAATTTTGTGATTATAAGCTTAGTGTTGCTCTTATTCATATCAGCAACCTAGGAGACTAGAAAGTAAAACTATCACTAGGAACAAACTATTTTAGGGCCCAGTATAATAGAGCATGACTTTAATCCCAGTACTTGCAAGGAAGAAGCAGGAAGATCTCTGTGAGTTCAGGGCCAGCATGGTTTGCACAGAAAGTTCTAGGACAACCAGGCTTACACAGAGATCCTGCTTCAAAAAAGAAAAATGAAAAACCTCAAGAATTTCTGGAAATATTCTGAGGTCCCAAGTATACCATAAAGATATTATATAATGCTAAGAATATTGCCAATGCTTACACAGGAAGTAATGTTACGCCAGATTTATGTTAAAATAATTAATAGAATCTCGAAATGTATTATAAATCTGATGAAAACGACAATCGTACTGTTATTCCTGGCTATGTTTTCATTCACAGCAGTTAAAAGACAAAACAAACCCAGTCTTTTATTAGTTAGTGGTAAAATAATTAAGGTTTTTCTTTTGGTAAGCTATGTTTAATCGTGGTTGAACAAAAATAGAATAGCTAACTGGCATAACATTTTCTTTAAAAAAAAAAAATGGGTTTAAAAACACATTTCCTATTTCCAAATGATTCAACCCTTTTACAACAAGGTTGTGCAAAATTACCTCGGCCAACCATCAACAAGATTGACACTATAACTTATATAATCCATTGCTATTATCTACAGAAGCCTGCAAATATACTTGATAAATACAGAAATTAAAAAAAAAAAAAAAAAAAAAAAGGTTGGTCTGCACAATGTATTTAAACTGAGACAATTTCCATTGGTGAAAAGTTACACTGTAGCATTTGGTAAAGGCAAGAACATGTGATTCCTTTTTTTTTTTTAATTCCAAATATAACTCACTGTATTTAGCACCTCCTGTACTTTCCAGTATATTAGATAATTGCATTCCATGTTAAAAACAAAATAAAGGAAAACATTCCTGCCACCTACCTTTTCATAAAAAAAAAAAAATACTGAAACTATTAAACATATATGAGTGTAGCTTGTGAAGGTTAGAATGACTAATACAAAAATTACTCATTTCTTAATTTAAAAAAAAAAAATTGAGGACTTAGAGGCTTTGAAGAATGGCAACAAAAGCAGGGAGAAATGTAGTCATTGGTTTGGGCAAAAAGAGAGCTCTGTGGCCAGGCAGTGGTGTCACATGCTTTTAATCCTAGCTCTCCAGAGCAGAGAAGTCAGATCTCTATGAGTACAAGGCCAGCCTGGATCTACAGAGACATTCCAGGACAGCCAAGGCTACACAGAGAAACCCTGCCTCAAAAAAAAAAAAAAAAAAAAAAAAAAAAAAAAATAAGAGACGTAAAGACAGACAGTGTTGTAAATAATGCTCTGGAGAGCCATATAATACCAGTGGCTGAGAGCCCTGCCCCACATTAATCAGAACACTCTCCCTGCCCCAACTTTTGGTCCATTTGTACTGAGCTTCAGAAAAGAATTCCATCTGAACAAAGACACCCGTGACCTTAAAGTCTGAGAATCACTAAGAAGGATTAACAGATAATAGCAATCTGAATCTTGTGTGATACCGACCTAAAAGCAGTAACAGTGAATACGATATAAAGTAGTAAAACAGGCTGAGGATGTAGCCCAGTAGTAGAGTACTTGCCTAGCATATATAAGGCCTTGGGTTCAGTTCAATCCCCAGCACCATGGGACGGAGGGGAGGGAGGGAGGGAGATACACAAGTATAAAGAATAAGACAGAAATGGAGAGTAATATGACCAAAATACATTATGTGTATATTTGTAAATATCAACATCGCACAATTCATTATTTGGTACAAATAATATATACCAATAAATTTTAAAAGAACAACAAAAAAAAAATTAAGCAACAGGCAGACTGGTGCGTAAAATTTCTCTGCTTTCATGGGTTAAGTTTGTTCTTTTGATTCTGGTCAATTGTGTTGGGTTACTGTTTACAGGAGAGTCTGAAGTCAAGCTTTTCCAACAGCTTGGATTAGCAGAAGGATAGCAGATGATTTCAACAGATGATCTCAACATATGATTTTCTTTCTTTCTTTCTTTCTTTCTTTCTTTTTTTTTTTTTTTTTTTTTTTGGGCTGTGAACCCCAAGTAAAGAGCTTTGGCAAGGGATGCTAAGATCAGGCTGCTATGCAGTATTGTTTGGTATATTTGTTTAGGTGGATGGGAGGGGCCAGCACAATACTAGGTAAAGGACCTATCTTGCTGTGACAATCTGCACAAGAAATCACATCCCTTTCCAAGGAAGAACACTCCATATGCCTTTTGAGACAGGGGCTCTCTGTAGCCCTGGCTGACCTTGAACTCACAAAGATCTCCCTGCCTCTTTGTCCCAAGTGATGGGATTAAAGATGACACTCCAGATTCTTAACATTTATTTCTACCCATGCTTCCACTTTATGGACAATTAATGTCATCAAAATTCACAAATTGGTATTTATAATAAAAATTTCCTAAATAAATCATGCTATCTGTAAAGTAATGTTTTGTTTTCTCTGAGAATGAACAAGATAGAAAGAAAAGCTTCACTGTTAATAACTAGGTCCATGACAGAAATTTCAACCAGTTTATACTACCACAATTGAAATTGTGAAAAGAGAAGAGACAATGTATTATCAAACTTATCTGTAACCATAATCTTATATATTGTACACGCCAAAAATGCTTCTACAGCAAGTAAAACCATTGATTTCCCTATTTGCAAACTTTACATAACTCAAACAGTATTTCTTAATGTCTGTTGCTTTGTAAGAAATTGTAATTTGAGTTTCTCCATATTAAGACTCAATTTCCAATAATCAGGGTCAGAACAAAACCAGTACTCGCCATTTGCATTTTGAAAACAAACTAATATCACTCAATGATAAAAAATAGTATTTTCAAAATACCAGTAAAACAAAAACCAACATCAACAATAATATGAACTATAAGTGACATTTAGTTCTTAACTGGACCTCCTTTTTGAGAGCTGAAAAATTAAAAATGGTAGTTGATTCCAAACACAGGAAAATAGAAGCTGCTATGAACACACTCTTCAAATTATATAACTGACCTATTTAAGATATAGGAATCATGATTCCAGTTCCTTTCCCAATCATTGCAGTATAAATATATTCCTATAATATATGCTAATAAAGTACTGGTACCGACAAAAACAGTATAGTGATGAGGAGAAATGATCTACATGAGGCCAGACTTAACTATCTTGGTTTTGTACTAAAAGACAAATCAGAATAAGTTCCAGTGGTTTAGTTTCTCAAAATTATGTTCCTTATAGACACTGATTTCGTCCAAAGAGAATTTGATATAAAACCTTCTTCAAGATCCCAAAATGCCTATTCCTTTAAAACTCATTCTTAAAACAGAGGAATTAGTTGCCTTATTCTTTTTTATGCTTCAATTATTTTCAGAGTAAGATATAAGTAACATTTATAATGAGTTTTTAGAATTCTATATTGTCAACAACGTATCAATATTTCATCTGGCTATAATACTCCTCATTGATTCTACTCATAACATTTATATCATTAAAATAACTACCAAAACACAACAATTTATATTTGTATTTTTTGATATTTAACATTTTCTTTTAAAATTTATTGCATGAAGCCAACAGAAATTTAGTTTATCTCTGACATAAAGTTTCAAATACTTCAGCTTTTTAAAACAAATTATTTCTATTCTTTTAAGCAACATGTAGTTTAAGAATCCAATTATGACTTTGACCAGTGAGGGCATGCCTCAAATTTCAAAACAACTTTTAGGGCAGTGCTTCCTAGCCAGCAGGTCATGACCCCTTTGGGAGTCAAATGACCCTTTCACATTGAAAAACACTACACACACACACACACACACACACACACACACACACACACCAGTAGCCAAGTTTGTTAGGAAGTATCAAAGAAAATAATTTTATGTGTGGGTGTCATTACAAAATGGAGACCTGTATTAAAAGGTCAAAGAATTAGGAAGGTTTAGAACCACTGTGTTATAGCCAGGCTCGTACCCATTAGATCTTATTCTAATGTTAAATCCTTAGGATCAGCAGTAGGTTAAAAATTGTATTTTAGAAACCTATGTATTTCTTCATAAAAAGCAAATAACATGACTGAAATACCAGCTACCTGGGAATCAGAAGACAGGAGGCCAGCCCTAAGTGAAGAATTTGAGGCTAGCTTGATCAACATAGAGACCTTGTATCTCTGATGGCTCCCATGTCCTAGTATCAAAAATTACGTTTTAGGACAGGATGGACAAATCTAAACAATTTCAAATGAGTTTTAAGAAATAACTAGACTAAGCTCACAGGATTATGCTTCAAGAAGATACTTCTAACATAAGGAAGAGTTCACATTTTGTGGAAAATAACTTAGGAATTACCTTAAATATATATACGACTAAAAAGTTGACAAGAAAGGTTTGCTTTAACATATACATAGCATTTCAGTTGAAGAATACAGAGAAAGCACAGACACTTTACCTGCTTCCTGTGAATTTAACACTTCTAAGGCATGCATCATGGCACTTGCGAAGACATTGGCATCCTCTTTGCTGCCAAAGTTGAGACCATACACCTGTCTAGCATCCCGCCATTGGTGGAAAGTCTGTGTAGCTTGATTGTACTTTAGCCCTTTAGGAATGGCACAATTTATCACGACCTAAAAGACAATGATTTAATAAAGTCAGGATGATTGATAATTGGAAAAATAATATAAGCCAAGGAAAATCCTGACTGTGGGTTATTTATTAAAACCGGTTCCTAGCAGACTTTTTTTCAAAACTAGTTAGAACAATTACCTCAGTAAAAGCAAGTCTACAGAAATGAGTCTGACAAAACTTAAGGTATCCTAGAGTTACAAAAGGCCTGCGTTAAAATAGTAAATCAACAAAACAAAAACAATCCACCTCATTAAATACACTTGAACATGTTTGCTGAAAAACTACAAACACAAAACTGGAAAATTAACTGTAAGGGGCCCTCTTGACTCCCCCATCCTGAGGATTTGAGAAAAGCAGAGTTACAGAACCCATGTTCAGCTGGGTGGTGGTGGCGCATGCCTTTAGTCCCAGCACTTGGGAGGCAGAGGCAGGCAGATCTCTGTGAGATGTACCCATCCTCTATCCTCATATTCACATGAGAGTCCTCTGCTTGTCAGTGCAATGGTGGTTTGTTCATTTTCATTGCTTTATGAAACATTCCTTTGTATAAACTACCAATCTACCCGTCCCAATCTACCCATTATTGTACTAACATTTTTCTGCTCAGAATTTGTGGCTTCCACAAATGACTTTAAAATTCTACTAAACATCACCTGTTATACACAGGAGTTACACTGAACATGTACCCACAAGTGGAATTAACATAGGTCGTGTGCATTTCACTTTAGTAGAAAAAACTACATGTAGCTTTCTAAGTTTGTCCTACCATTCATTTACTCTTCCAGAGCAGTGTATGAAAATTTGTATAGCTCCATATACTATGCAGCATTTCTACTGATAATGTTAGTCTTTATAGCAATTCTGGTGTGTGTCTTTGTTTTTGGTGTACATTACACTACTCTGCTCACTAATGAGATTTAGTACTTTTCCAAGTTCTGGAAAAACTTTTAACTTATTATGTTGTGTGTGCATAATGGGGTTAGGAAGAAGGCATGCATGTCATGGCACATGTGTAGAGGTCAAATGACAACTTTGTGGCACTGGCTCTCTTCCCACCTTTATGAAGATTCTAGGGATAAAATTTAGGTTCCGGGGCTACATAGCATGTGCCTTTACCCAGTAGATTACACATACATAGGCTCCCTTTCTGTGTTTTATTTTCTTCAAAACATTTCTATTGTGAATTCCTCTGGTTCTTTTTTCTCTCCTCTGTGATCCATCTTTTTCTCCACATATTATCCCAAAAGGGAAGGTATTCATGCGATAAATATCTTGTGCCATTCCATAACTTGCCTACTCACTCTTAGTGATGTTTACTTTCTTTTATTTCAGATTAGTAATACTATTTTCTTTTAATGTTTTTTGTGTTCTGCTTAAGAAATATTTCTCAATCTAAGTAATGAAAATACTATCTCATTTTGTCTTATAGGAGCTTTATTACTGTTACCACTAACATCTGTATCTCTAGTACAACTGGAATTAATTCAAGCCTATGGTATGAGATGGGTTCTGAGTCACTTCTATAATCAAAGATGCAGGCCTATCAATAGTCACAAATTGTGTTTTGTTCCACTGGTAAACATATCAAGTATTTGCCCAACTCTAGTGTCTTAACTACTGAAGCTTTCTGCTGTAAAACTTTGTTTTACTCTGTTCCGCATTACTACTTTAGCAATTTTGGTTTTCTTTGTATAACACTACCATTTACACTCTCAATGTCAATTTCCAAATTTAAGACTGCACTGGGAAAAAAATTAAAAAGGGCAGGGATAGCACATGCCGTAAAACTCAGCACTCAAAGGAGGCAGAGGAAAATGAATCTCTAATTTTACAGAGTGAGGTCCAGGACAGCCAGGGCCACACAAAGAATCCCTGTCTCGGGGGGAAAAAACAAAAATAAAAAAGGCTGCATTGAAGCTAACAGAACAATTTGATCACTAATGCCAGGGTTATCTCATGAGTATCATGTATTCCTTATTTAGGCTGGCCTTAACACTCAATGATTCTCTGTATATCTTGAGTACCTATTGTAAATTTGTCAGGTATTTGATAAAATATTGTTATTTAGTTTTAAAATGTTCTCTATAGGCTCATGATTGAACACTTGGTGCCTAGATGGTGAGACTGCTTTAAAAAGCTGTAGAACTTTCAGGAGGCTGAGTATTTCTAGAGGAAGTAGGTCACTGGGGGAAGCCCTAAAGATCTACAGCCTGGCTTCACTTCTGATTCATCCTCTGCTTCCTAGTTGGCAATTGGATGTGACCAGTCACATCCTTCTGACTTAAGTTACTTTAGTCATTGTATTTTATAACAGTGTTAGAAAAGTCACTAAGACACTATTGTAAACAGTATCATGTAAAGTCATTTAGTAACTCAGATAAAAACTACTTTAGACACAACATACCAAGAGCATTTTTAAACTTATTTCTTGATTCTAACCTATTAGTAATCTAGGATTTATTTATGTTCAGGTTTCTTCCCTCCAAATACATAACCATGTTACCTACAACTAACTCTTTCATTTCTTCTTTTTAATCCTTGTATATTTTATTTTCTCTTTCTTACCTTAATCTACTTGCTAGACATACAACAATGTTAAAAAGATATGGTTAACACCAAGTATCTTTCGTCTGATGCTATCTTCTGAAGAGTACTGATATTAATTAAGCTTGTTAGGTAAAGATGCACCATAAAATGCTTAAGTTGTGATAAATTACAGCAAGGACATAAAAGAAACAAGCTTGTTGAGAAGATAGGGAAACAAGTCATAAGCTGACTTCACAGACAAGGTCAATACCCTAGCAGGTTACAAGAGTATTCCGGCTGGAGAGATGGCTCAGTGGTTAAGAACACTGGCTGCTCTTCCAGAAGACCTAGGTTCAATACCTAGCACCCACATGTCAACTCATAACTGTCTATAATTGTACTTCCAGGGGATTTGACACCTTCACACTAAAGCAAATAAAATAATTTAAAAACAAACAAACAAAAAAAGCTAACAAGGAATTTTTAAAAAATGTTGACCAGGCTAAAAAAAAATTAGGTTCATGTTAGATGAAACATACCATTTACATGGACTCAGATTGCACAAGATCATAACACAGTTTGGGAATATAGTATGCAGGCAAAACATCCATTCATGGAAGAAAGATGTCCAAAAATTTTTAAAGGTTTTTTTTTTTTTTTTTTTTTGCTGTTTTTCAAGAGAAGGGTTCCCTTCTCTTGTGTAGCCCTGGCTGTCTTGGAACTTAACTTACTGTGTAGAACAGGCTTGGCCTTGAACTCACAGAGATGTGCCTGTCCCTTCCTCCCAATTACTGGGTTCGAAGGTGTGCACCACCTCTACCCAGCTAGTTTTTATCTTTTAGTTTTCATTTTGTTCTCCCTAACAGCATCATGGGCAGTACTAACATGACTCTAACCCAGTGGTTCTCAACCTGTGGACCAAGACCCCACTGGGGGTCGAATGACCCTTTCACAGGGATCACATATCAGATATCCTGTATAGCCATATTTACATATGATTCATAACAGTAGCAATATTACAATTAGGAAGTAACAATGAAAACAATTTTATAGTTAGGGGCTCACCACAGCATTAATACTGTATTAAAGGGTTGTAGTGTTAGGAAGGTTGAAAACCACTGATCTAATCTAAGGGACCATTCTGCTGGAAGACAGATGAAAAGTGTAGCTGAACAACAGACAGGCAGTGATGAGTGGAGTTTTGGGTAGAAACTGAGGAGACTACAGACTATAACACAGAGAGGAAATTGAAGCACAGAAGAAAAGGAAAGGCTAGGGAGGAAGAAGGGGACATGCAACAAAGATAAGATGTGAACTAATTACTGGAGACTAGCCCAGAACTATCAGAGAAGCGCTGCATTTTAAATCAGGTATCCTAAGAGTTTCACTGCAACCCATGTCAGTCAATCACTTATGTAAGGGACAAACTACAGTTTCTATTTTCCAGGGAAATTCCTAAATCTCCTCAGACAAAAAGAAGAGGGTTTTCTCTTTGTTCTCTTTTTATGAGATGCAGCCTCTCTGAGTCCCAATTTTCTGCATAAATGCAAGTTTCAAATTGCATGCATGAGAAATATGTCCCAAGCTATTAATACTTTAAAAACCAACTTCAAATTAATGGTTACTGCAGCATCTATTTACACTACATCTTACTAGAAAATTATAGACCTAACTTTAACAAGAACTCACGGGCACAGATAGAATTTAGCTGTATTTTCTCTGCACTTTATAGCAGGATGGCTTTAAACATTACTTTGGATTACATCTTTGGAAAACACTTTACATTGTACTTCATCTTTGTCTATTCTGAATTTAGATTATAAAAACTGGTCATTTGGATGTCCAAATAAGACAATCTAATGAAGAAAAAAAACAAACAAAACAGCTCAGTGAGACTTGATGGATGATAGTTCAATCTCCAGATCCTACAAAGTGGTAAGAGAAACAGACCTTCACATGTGCACGTCTGCACTCACACACAAGTTATAAATGGTTCTGGCAGACCCTTACCTGATGGTCTTGAATCTTTCTGCCCACCACTCTGAATGTATTGTTTCCTGTGTGGTGATATATATGCACTCTGCTGAACCCAGTTGAGCCACCAGCTGGCACCCACTTCTTATTGGCATCATCATAAACCATCACAGCAGCTCTTGCCTGACAGATACTCTGTTCACTGTAAAAAAAAAAAAAAAAAAAAAAAAAAAAAAAAAGAGAGAGAGAGAGATATTTAAGATAAGTGAGGTATGCCATAGAGCCATGAGCCAAGATTAACCAACACTGTTAATAACTAACAGTGGCAACTTATAGTAAGGGTGGAGTTTGGGAACACCAGAAGTATTTTATCCTAGATGTATCTAATTTATTATCAAACTGAGTGAATCTGTTAATACAACTAAACATTAACCACCACCTGTTTAACTATCCAATGGTGACCTGTCTTGACCTGTCTGAAATATTTTCTGCTTATGGACAAAATTAGTTTTATCATTAGGATCACTTAAAGGTCTCTAACAAATTCAGTCAAAGGAGTATCTGTTCTTCCAAACATGGAAATAAAACTATCAACGGCTAACAACATGATTGAGTCCTTCTGTTCCCTTTAGTCAAGTTAATATCCTACACTTGAACATTTTTTCCCCTTTGAAGTATAAGAATAGGGGGCTAGAGAAAGAGCTCAGAGGTTAAGAGAGCTTAATGCTCTCATAAAGAGCACAATTGTTGAGTACAAGCACCCAGACTGGACAACTCACAACCACCTGTAATTCCAGCCAGGAGACCCAATGTCTCTGGTTACCACTTGTAATGAAAGTATTTGTCCAATCAACCAATATCTGCCTCAGGAGACCTCAAGACAACACACTATGTGGGTTTTCCCTAGAACCCTCAGAAAGGGCTAACCACACCCTCCCCAACTCGTGCTTTAATTTTCCATTAGGGACATTCTACAAAACCTAAAATACAAACGGCAACACTGTACTAAGTCCTGTAGTGCTATCTCAACTTTTATGCTGCCTAGAAATTTTCTGGAACTAGAGACTAAAAGGAGGTAAACTAAACTCAATAAGCTTCACTTCTAATAACTCACACAGGGAAAAAAATGTATAAATGTGACAAAACCTAAAGTTCTCATACTTGAGAGAAATAAAGAAACCAGACCCTCACTCAGCCCCATGACAGACCGCAGAAAAGACATGTAAGCCTCTGACTCAGCACATGACACATAGAAAATCCAAAAACCCCCTAGCCTCCTAGATACTTGGTTCATGGGAACTGTTTGGCCACAAAAGAATCTCCAGGGGAAACAAAAACCTCCCCTTGTAGTCTCCAGGATACAGTTCTAAAAATTATTGCTATCTATGAACAACAGGCCACCTGCAAGAAACAAGACAAAGCCTTAGAAACCACAGAAATGTTCCCTGTCAGCACTGGTTAATGAGAATAATCAGTACACAGGTATTTCATACCAAAATATAACTTTGAGAAATTCCCTATTGTTCCCCAAATGTCAATCAATCAGAAATCAACCCATATCTACTGATAGAATTCTGTGATTTCTGTCTGTAAAACCTGACAGGGAACTTGATTCCTGTCATGGTTGGATGAACAATAAACCTCCATTTGTATCAGTGGGTCTGTATCCCTGGGATCTCTTTGAGGATCTTTGTGACTTGGGCACAACAAAGACAAGTCAATGACTAAAGCCTGGGTTGTTGTTCTTTTTTTTTAATTACATTATTGAAAGGTATTTTTCAGTACAGAAATTATAAACTCATTAGTCACAAGAGAAACAAATACTAAGTGACAACTTTATCTAAGTACAGCAAAGATGACTGAAATAAGCAAAGTTTCCTAAGCTTACAAGTGCAGAAACAAATTTACTATGAAATGAAAAAGACAAACAACCCTGTGAATTAATGTAAAATGTTATCTCAAAAAATTAATACTGGCCAGGCCCACACAAGCCTTTAATACAGGTACTTGAGAGGCATAGGATGACAGATCTCTGAGTTAAGACCAACCAGGTTGTAAAACAAGACTCCATCTTTTAAAAAAACAAATAAATAAATAAATGATAACTTCATCAGATGCAACAGTACACACATGTAACTCTGGCAATCTTACGGAGACAGAACACAGGAGACAACTCACAAAAGGTGACAGTCCCTCTACCAACTCTGGCCACAGATGTGACACATATTAAGCCAACAGTAATCACAATTTTTATTTCATGGACTTACAAATCTAAAATAGACTGGGTGAATCAATCAATAAGGAATGGGATGTCAATGTTTTGGTCTATTAGCATCTTGGGTAGATAAGAAACTGCAGAGGGAAGACCATCATAAGAGGTTAAAATGAGGATTTTAAAAAAAGAAAAAAATCTCTAAGAGTAAAAGAGATAGAGAAATGGCTCAGCACTTAGAACAGCTTCTCTTCCAGATGACCCTGATTTCATTCCCAGCAGCCGCCCACAACTATCTGTAAATCCAGTCCCAGGAAATCTGGCCTCTGCAGGCACCAGGCACATATGTAGCACATACATATACATATGCAAAACACCAAATACGCAGGCAAATACCTATACACATTACAAAAATCAAAAACTTAAAATGATCAAGCGTAGTAACTTTAGTTTTCTAGACATTACATTGCTCATGTTTGTATTTTATCTATTTTATTTTAGTCCGGTGAAATCATCGAAGATATGATTTAAAATAAGATGGCTCTGTGAGGTACAGCACACAGGAGGCTGATGGCAGGAAGAGTAAAAATTCAAAGCCAGTCTGGTTACAGAGAAAAACTCTTAGCTAATTATGGCTGTTCTCAGCCACAGAAAGCATTGCTGGTATATATCCAAGAACAGAACATTGCATCTTTATATGCACCATTGACAAACCTCAAAATAAAAACTTGTCAAAATCTTTACATTTTTGAAAATACTTTGGTAAATCTGTTAGGCTACCTTTCAGAATGAAAAATCCCTTAACCACTATTCTTTCCTCATACTTAAAATGTAGAAAGGAGGTTCATTAAGATATACAGATTTAAATCTAATAAATTTTGGTGTGTGATGCTTATTTTGTTTGCAAATTTATAAATATTTATTAAAAATGGTATTCTACCATCTCCCAAAAACAATAAAACATCTGTGTTGTAGAATGTTATTTTAAGGTGTTATAGTTGTTTATGCTCTGGAACATTTATTTAATGATGCTAAGAAAGGATAGGTGTGGGGTTGGCAAGCAGAAAATAAATAGGAGGAATCTGGTAAGAGGAAAGAGGGCCTCCAAAAGAGCAAAATGCCAAAAGAGTTAAAAATAAATAAATAACAAAGCAACAACATTCTGGCATAACAACATGGGCCCAAATTTCCATGTAGGGTCTAAAAAAGCTGAGAAAAATAAAATACAATACAATAAAATAAAGAACATGGCTCCTTTAAGTGGCACTGCCGGTCATTCAGCAGCATTAAGCTAAGTAATAACCTCTGTGGCAACCTGGGTAGCAGACTCCATAGCTAGAAAGATTTAGTGCAGCTCTCAGTCATGAACCTCCCACCTGGCTTTCCCAACCTGAGAAGTGGGCAGAGCCAGCAAACTCAGGCATGTGGAGGAAACAGGTGTAGCTGAACAGTCTAAAGTTTGCTTGGGCTGTCAAAAAAGGCTAAAAGACACACATTTAAAAAAGGTCAAGACGTTAAAAAAAAAAAAAACTCGAAAAGGGTTCCAGTGTGTTTTATAATGTGCAGGAGGCTTAAGAAAGAAAAAACGGGGGAGGGGGTACGGGCAGTCATAGAAAGAAAAGAGTCTGCATAAGATGGGAAATAACAGGGAGTCAGGGTCAGGTATGCTATTGTGTTAATTTTGAATCTTTTTGAATGCTGCTGGGAGACCTGGGATTGTGAACAAGACTGCAAAACTGAACCAACCTAGATACTTTAGGAATATCTTAAATTTAAAAAGTCACAAAGTATATTTTACAAATGGAAATCAAGTCTGTTTTGGTGTTTTGTTCCTACAGGAAACAAGAGGCTATGGATTCATTCCAGGCTGATATGAATCTGGTTTGATCAAGGAGACCTCCTGAAACTTGACAGGTGGTATATAAACAAAGATGGCTGCTGGTCTTTCCAGGACTTGGCTATTATCTCAAATTTTCTCAGGAAGCCCCTAACAATCCCTAAAGACACTTTGTCCACAGATAACAGGACACAATCTAGAGAAAACAAGGCCCACATTCCCAAGAGTTGGGTTGTGGGAGATGGATGTTTGTTATATTTAGGGGAATACAGGATAAAAAAAAAAAAGACAACTACTAATCTCAGATATTTTGCATTAGCACGGAATATAGTGTATTGCTACAAATTTAAAGTTAATTTTGTTACACTGTATATCTGTTGCCACTCTTGTTTGGAGTAATGTGCTTATGCAGTTTATTTAAAAATATATAAATAAGAAATGAAGTTCTATAAGAATTTAACTTGTAGTCACATTAGGTATATTTTTAAGGTTAAATAGATATATTTTAGATAGATGATTTTCAAACGCTTCAAAGACCTATAAAATATAACACTTAAAATGTTTGTAACCCAATTTACTTTATAAAAGGACGGTGGGTGTAGCGGTCTTACCTGTAACAGTGAAGGCAAGGGTATAAAGATTTCACTACATCCATGATAAAGGACAAATGGGTGTTTACTGGGAAACACCTACACAGCAAAATACAAAGAACCATGGGAGTGCTTCTCTGCCCTTCCTACTGGATCTGCCAACCTAAGAGAGAGCCCACCTTATGTTTCCCTCTTCCATCTGCCTGGAGCCACGCCCAAAGGGGTATGGCCACTGTTACAGGCAGGACCGCTTACAGATGGGCATTAAGAAACTTTGAGTTTGCTTTCATTGAGGCCAAGGTTAGCCACTATGCCATGCAGATTGGACATGTAATACACATAAAGACTGCTGAACTTTGCCAAAAGAAGGCAGGACAGTCCATCAAAATTCCTGCTTCACAGAAAAGTTTATCAGATATTCTAGGCCTGTAGGCTGAAGATGGATGCCCCAAGGTTGCAGAGGAACTTTGGGTGACTCTCCAGGAATTCCAATGTGTCTGTCCTTTCTAGAGTTTTGGAAGTTGCTTGCAATGTACTTCCTGTTTACTCAGGTAATATATCAT